AAGTCATGAGAACTTAATCTCCCAGATTCCCCCAGCCAGCTATGCTGGCTGGGGGATTCTGGGAGTTGAAGTCCACAGGACTTAAAGTCGCCAAGGTTGAGAAACACTGACATATACTATGGGTAGAGAATTAACTACTGGACAATCCCAAATAGCCAATTTGATATCGTTTCTCTTGGATACTGCTTCCTGTGCCAGGTTCACACATAGAAACAAGAGAATCAAATGCATAGCAAAGATTATTCATCAAACAAAATTTAAAAATCCTGGTTTGGATCGATTTTCACTGTTCCCTTCCTTGCTACATTTTTCTTGATTCTCCAGTCCTCTTCCAGAATGGATTTCTTTGCTTACTTATCTGGTTCCCATCTAGGGAAAGATGCCCTTCTTCCTATCAAATACAAGAACATGGAGATGTTTCCGCTTTTTAAAAGGTCGCCTGTGGAGGGAAATGTTTCCGTTTCCTCAATGGCTTTTTACTTTTGGTTTTCCTGGGCTTGAATTGTCTTTGCCTATAGCAGTGTTTCTCAACCTTGGCGACTTTAAGTCCTGTGGACTTCAACTCCCAGAATTCCCCAGCCAGCCACCATTTCTGGGAGTTGAAGTCCACAGGACTTAAAGTCACCAAGGTTGAGAAACACTGGCCTATAGCATAAATTGACAAATTCAATTTGACTGATATATCAAGTTTAGCTATTTCCTTTACCTCTTTCATAAGTGAACCTCTTAGACGATGATTTCTCTCCTTTTCTTTAAACAGTGCTTGAGAGAAGATAAACATTTTTCAAAAGATTTTCTGTGTTACAATGTTATGCCATTGTTTAACTAACTACCATATTTAAATGAGATAATTTTATATTAAAAGAACCTAAGAACAACTTCCAATTTCAGCTCAGGATAATGCATAATATTATTGAATAGGTTAACATTATAATGTTTTCCAGAAACTAGAAATTTTGTTCTTGTGTTGTCCTTTACTTTAGCCAAACAACTGCCTGAAATAAAACAAACAAATGCTGCATTTTTTACTTATTTTGAATAAGACTTACCGTTTTTCTATAATTAGGTGTTGTGTATGAAAATTTGGACTGCTCTCATATTCTTGATTCTGTACATTTTTCCACTGCAACCAAACTGCTAGAGGTACTGGCTTTATTTATTATATTTATTACAATTACTCCAAGGAATTTAAAATAGTTCCTTCTCAATTTACTTTTGTGAATGATCTTTTGCAGTAAGTTTGACTGAGTATTGTTTCTGTCCCATTAATAAATTTCTCTATTCCTTCATTAGATATAACTCTATTCTTCTTAGATAAATCTCTTGTGTCTATAAAAAAATCATCCAGTACAATATCAATTCCTACAGGTGGATTCTAAAGAACTCCACAAGAGCCTTACAAACCATTCCATCATCATCCGAGGGGAAAGTGTCTCTACGCCCCTAAGTGTGACTCAAGCAGCCGATGTGAGAAATGCCTTTGTCAAGGTAAATAAGACCAGCTCTGTTTTTCAATAATATTTCTCAGGGATATGTTTGTTTTTGACGCTTAAGACTAGAAAACCAAAATATTCTGCTACCGGAAGACACTCATATTAGTCAAGGATTCCGTGACCTGACAAAAGCGCGAACGTCATAAGCGCGTCGACAAAACCGCGGTGACAAAACCGCGCGACGAAGGAGCGACGAATGAGCCTTGAAGCGCGTCGACAACAGCGCACCGACAGAAGCATGCTGTAACCTAACCCAAAACCTAACCCTAAACCTAACCCTAAACCTAACCCTAAACCTAACCCTAAACCTAACC